CACAGGTACCATCCTGATCAATATCAGCAGCCTCCTAACTGGTCTTCCTCCTTCCATCCAGGCCACAATGATCCTTTTAGAACAAGTCAGATAGAGTCACTCCTCTGCCCAAATCCTTCCTAAGGCTTCTCACACCACACTAAGTAAAAGCCTACTTTCTTGCAATCACCTACAAGGCTGACCCCCATTCCCATCACCTCTCTGACTTCGTGTCCCACTATACTCCCCATTATCAGGCATACTCCTGCCTCATGGCCTTTGCACATGCGATTCCAACCTGGCACACTCCCTCAATCCCCAGAGAAGCCTTCCCTGACCATCCTATGGAAAGGGCAATCATCCACCCACCCTCACTGGCACATCACTGCTTTATTTTATCTCTATGGCACTTATCAACCATCTGACATATTATGTATGTATTTGCTTATTTGTTTATTGTCTGTCTCTGCCATGAAGGCAAAGATTTTTACCTCTTTTGTTTACCACCATTTTTCCAGAGCCTAGACTAGCATGTAGCACAGATTAGGGGCTCGCGTTCAATGATCAAATGGGCCTTGCTCTCTCATCTCTTATTTGAATGATAAAAATGTAAAAAGTGGTTCTCAATTCAAGTTCCCAAAGCTTGACACCAGCATCTCCCTATATCTGTATCTATCTTTTATTATTTCATGAAGAGGTATCTCACTTCCTGGTTAAGCCTAAATTATCTACCTGGGCTCCTAAGCCATATTCTTACCTCCTTAGAGACCTTATTTTATCAATTTCTTTCTCTCTCTCGTATCTTTTTCTTCTCCCTCTATCCTCCATATTCAACCCCTCTCTCTCTCTTCTAAAAACATTCTTATGGTTCCTATATTTACACACACAAAAAAAAGTATTCTCAATATCTTGCTACCCTCTTTAGCTATGATCTCTCCTTTTAGCACAAAACCACTCAAAAGAGTAGTTGACATGCTGTCTGCACTCCCTCTCAACTCACTCTTCAATCCCTCAGTCTGGCTTCTGTCACCACCACGCTACTGAAAATATGCCTCTGAGAATCACAGGGGCCACCTAATTGGCAAGCCCAGTGCATTTTTCTCAATCTTCATGACCTCTCCACAGTGACACTGCTAACCCCCCCCACCCCTCCCCCTGGGAACCTTCTCCTATCCTGACTTCTGTGGTGACCGACTGCCATGAACATTCATTCACAGTCCCCTGTACAGTCTCCATTCCCCTCGTGGCTATTTCACCTAAGGTCTTTTCTCCCCATGCCCTCTGACATAAGAGATCTCATCCATACCCAAAGCTTTAAACTTCACCTGTGTGAGGATGATTCCAAAATCTACAGCTCCTTCCACTCTCTCAAGCTCTAATTCCGGGTGTTCAATTGCCTTCCATACATCTCCACCTGTAGGCTCCATCATCACCTCAAACTCAACATACCTAACCCTGAGGTCTTTATCTTACACCAAACTTGCTCTTCCTCCTAACTGCCAGCTTGTCAATGGAACCATCAATCTGCTTCTATGCATGGAGCCTCAGAATCATCTCTGATGTCTCCTTCTCCTTCACCCACTACATCCAATCCATTTATAAACATCCACTACTTCCACAGCATCCTTGCCATCCCTCTGTTCTTTTTCATTTCCATGGTCAGCACCCTAATCCAGTCCACATCACCTAGACGATCTAATAAGCCCCCACATCTCCCAGGTCAAAGTCACCCCCATTTTGCATCCTTCCCACCCAGCCAGACCCAACCAATAAACCTTCCTAAACTACAACTCTGATCATGGCAGAATCTCCTGACTAAAACACAGAAATGGCTTCCTGCCATGGCTAGGTAAGATTCAAGCTCCCTAGTCTGGCATGTAAGACCAACCAGAGGCAGGTCCCAGGCTGCCTTTCCTGACGCTCACACACAGCCTATTAGCTCTCAGTCTATGCTTCCCTGTCTTCACTATGAACCCTCTCTCTTCAGTGACCCCATTCACTTTCAAAATCCTACCCATTGTCCAAGGCTCTGTTTAAAACCCACACTCAACACAGAGCATCTCTAATCTCTCTAGCCGATAGTAATATCTCCTTGTTCCTCACAGAAAACCTTCTCCATACTTCCCTTATTATGAATGACTTTATTTTAAAGTTCCAGTTCTTTTTTCCCCCTTACTAAACTCTAGATTCCTTAAGGATAAGATCCACATCTTATTTCCAACACACATTGAAATTTCTACCACTATAGGTATCTGAGATCAGTGCAGTCACAGAATCAGGATTGTAAGATAACTTGATTGGACTCACCAACTCTGACTCTTATTTCTTTTTCCTGTCTTGTTGCCCTGGCTAGGACACCCAATACAATGTTAAATGATAGTGGTGATAACAGGTATTCTTATTTTGTCCCCGGCTATAATAGGAACGTTTCTAATGTTTCACAAGAAAGTGTGATTTGTGCTACAGGTTTCTGGTACCTACCCTTTATCAAGTTAAGAAAACTACCCCTACGTTCTCTGTGATCTAAGCTGAAATAAAATATAAGCAGGGGTTGAATCAAAGTGGAGTGAACCAGGGACATAGTACCGAGGTATGGAGGGCAGCCAAAAAGAAAAAGGCAGACCTGAGGGAGAAAAGCCAGGAGAGACGAGATCAAGTTCATGGCTATGAAGAGGTTCTCCCTCAGATCTGAGCTTCCTGGGTTACTCATGTTAAAGCTTATGTTCCAGCTGCTTGCAGCAGAATGTAGAATGAGCAGAAAGAGGTGGTGCTCGAAGTCTACCCTCCCTGACTCCTAGATTATTCTGCACATCGATCCTGCCTATGTGTCTTTATCTACATAAGAACTGCACACACACTGAAGGCTACTGAAAGAAGCTGTGCAAGCACAACCTGCTGACTTAAGAAATACTGTGCATGACAGAGCATGGACCAAAGAGGCCCCTTTGTAGCCCTGGAAACCAAATATAACTGTTCCCTCTATACATCTCATCACTTCTCCTGACTGAGTCACTCACAGTTGGTGGAGGAGATGGGGGCAGAGATGTGCCAACAATATCACACCCTTCCTATGACTTCTTGGCAGCCAAAGATTGAGCAGCTATAGGATATGGAGGTTGACAGTCAAGACCAGGGAAGCCAGTAGGAGAGAAAAGGCTGAGGGAGATGCACTAAAAGATGGACATCCTTCCTGGACCATGCAGGTATGCATGCCTCTTGAGTAAGCTCCAGGAGAGCTATACAGAAGCGTTTTGGTATGGGGAGGAAATTCATTCTACTCCCCAGAGAAAAGGGCCCTCCCTGGATCCTGCGTATCATTAGGCTAGAGTATCGCTATTCCTCAGGCCACACCCAACTCTATAAAATATTGAGAGGACCCCATTCCTCTCCCTTCAACAAAACCAAGGAAAAAAGCATCTCTTCTGACAAAGAAGCAGGGGAGGCCTTATCTCAAGGGCCCAGATGTAGGAGAGAGCAGAAGACATTAGCCCCATCTGGACTACCCCATGGAGCGTTTCCCTCACTCCTAGGGTTACAGAGCTACTCATCCTGTGTTTTGACTCTAATGTAAAAGCAATGATTACACCAGCTCTCCAGGTGAGATTAAGCCCTGACTACCAGTTTCTATGGTGTGCATTCTTCCATTATGACCAATTTCAAGTTACCGAGAGTTGACCTGGGGACTACGCTCTACTCTGAAGTACAGGAGTAGGGCATCCATGGCCCCACGCCCAGGTCCGGGGCCCAGCCCCATAGCCAGCAGGCCTACCCGCAGCTACTTCTCCAAACCCACCGTCCATCCCCAGGGAGGGTGTCTCCCTCCAGCTCTCTCCACGCAGCTGGCACGGTGACTCAGCTTCCCCTAAATTTAGGAAAAGGGGTGGAGGGTCAAGTCAGCTGCCCAGACGCTTCTTCTCCCTGACCTTCCGCCACCCCTGTCAGCTGAGGACCTCGGCACAACCCCCCACTCCGCACCCCTAGCACCAGTCTCTGGTTCACCCCTGCCTGGGTTTTACCTCCACAACAGAAACAATCCATAGGATTTCCTGCCCAGTTGGGCTGCCCCCGTGGAATGGTCACAGGCTTAGGCCAGTGGGAGGGAGGGAACCTTCCTGCGGCTCCCAACATGGCCCCGCACGCTCTGCCATGGCTTGCCGTGATCTCCCCCATTAAGCTCTTTTGGTTGCTCCACTCTAGCTTCCTCTCTCCAGAAAGATAAGCACATTCATGTTCTGATAGGAAATGAAGCTTTGTTTCTCAGTAACTGCTTCCCATACAAAGCTGATCCTAAAGCAAGGAGTCACAGGACAGCTAGACAAGAAGGGGGACCTTGGGCGCCCCAGAAACAGAGAACTATCCTCAAAGGACCCAGCAGGGTTGAACACTCAGATGGTTGAGCACTCAGATGGAGCCCAAGGGCTTCAGGACACTCTCTCAGGCTTCGTGATGCCTCTGGGGAGGCCCAAGGGGGAATTCAAGTCTATAGAGACCTCCCTCCAGCCTTCTCCATGCCTTCCCCCAAAAACTGAAGTCCAAGGACAGAGAGCACAGCAGGCAGCTGCAGAGAGCATCTACTCTCTGTCTAGAAAAATCTATACTCCAGCCCCAAAATCACCACCTCTAGGAAGTTTTCCCTGATTATCCTAGGTGGTAAGCCTTGATTTCCCCAGGTTCTAGGGCTTCGGTCCCCATCTCTGCTGTAGCACACATTGCACTCTGTTAGAATTACGTCTGTGTACTTGTTCCCTCACTAGACTGCAAGCTCCTTGAGGGCAGGGGCTGAAAGGCATTGATCTTTCAATCTTAATGCCTACCTTAGAGCCTAACAGACAATGAATGCAGGAAGAGATGGCTAGTGGGTGGGCTCCTGACAGCCTCTTCTCTAGGCCAAAGCAGTGTCTGCTGAGGTGTGATGGCTGTGCCGGCACCTCCCCCAAGCAAGACCAATCAAGACCAAAGAGGGAAGGTACTGAGGGAGTAGGGAGGAGATATCCAGCACCGATGGTCCCTGAGGCTCTTACCTGCTACCCGGTGGGCTACCAGGCCCTCCAGGTTCAAGGGCTCCTCCTCCGGAGTTCGAGATGGATCTGAAGTCACCTCCTTTGGTGGGAGCTGAGGCTGAGCAGTGAGGCCAGGGAGAGAGGCTGGGGGCTGCTGAGGCCCTGGAGGGCTGAGGGTGGTTGGAAGGAAGGCGGGAGAGGAAGAGGAGGAGGTCGGGCTCTTTGGACGGTAACTCTGGTTGGGCCCAGCTGGACATAGCTGATAATCATAAGGTGAGTAAGGCCTGCCAGGCTCCAGGGAGGCCCGTGGGGCCCGCTCAGGGGTTCCCAAGGAATGCCCACTGGGGATGTAGCCAGATCTAGACTGGGTCAGTGGATGGGACTGGAAGGGGGAGCCCGAGAGGGGCTGGGAGGAGAGCGGGGAAGCCCCCGGCCAGGCCCCTGGGACACTCTGGGACTTGTGCAGGGGGGTGGCGGCCGCAGCCGGCTCCAAATCCAGCATCAGCATGTTGAGGGCTTCAATGGACTGCTCGATTTCCTGCTGGGACGCTGCCCTTGGGAACTCAGGGAGGCCAGGGGTGGGGGTCTCTGCCAATGGCAGGGGACTAGGCCTGCTGGGCCTAAGACCCTCCAAGTGGGCTCTTTCCTGCTGGCGAGGAGGAGGGCAAGGCGGCTGCTGCTGCTGCTGCTGCTGCTGCTGCCAGGAATTGAGGCCCCTCTGCACAGCCTCCCGGCTGCTCCCCCCACGGGCTGGAGCTTGGGGCAACTGCGGCTCTGTTTCCGGAAAGGACTGAGAGCGGAATATACCGCTGGGGTCATGGCCATAGTGGGAGGTGGTCACTGGCTGTGGCCAGGCTGTGTGCGGGCCCTCCCTCTGGTAGCCAGCTAAACCTTCCTGTGCGGAGTAGGAGGGCCGCATGGGGGCAGGCACTGCACGGCTGGCAGACTCATAAGGGTAGCCCCCACCATTGACCATAGGTTCCACGGGGTAGGGCTTGTCCAGACCATTGGTCAGTGGGGACAAGGCCTCTGGGTAGCCCCCCTCACTCGTGTTGGTGATCCCATCCAGGGAGGACAGTGTGCCCATGCTGCCCACACTGTGCCCGTCCTGGTTGGGCAGCTCATCATCCAGGATGTCTGTCTCTCGCTCAGATGCCAAAGCACTGCCGTTGACGTGAACCTGGGCTGGGACAACATGGCGGCCGGAGGAGGGTGCAGCAGGGCCCCCTGCTGGGCGGGACCGGAGATGCTGGGTGTGGTACATGATGCCTGGCTTCTCTCTCTCTAAGCCGAAGCCACTGAGCAGGCGGTCCAGCTCACGCTTCTCCTCGGGACTCAGGGCAGCAGGGGCACTGGAGGGGCCGGGGGCAGGCTCATCGGTCTTGTCGGTCTTGGTGGAGGCTGTGGAGTTGCCCGAGTCACTGCTCACAGAGAGGGTGTGTTCCACGTGGTTGGGGGTGGCCGACAGGGCAGGACGTGTGGCATTGACGGCCCCAGTGCTGCCATGCAGGGAGTCCTTCTTCTTCACCTTGGCATACAGGCTCCCGTCCAGCGGCCCCTGGGTATGTCCCACAACCTCTGCAAAAGACAGAGCAGCAGACAGTCAAGTCGGTGGGAAGCAGGGACATCTTTTATTCTCCCGAGGGAAGAAGTAAGAGCTTCCGTTTCCTGGATCCTAAAACCTCCTCTCAGCACCCTGAGATAGAGCTGAGGTGGCAGAAAGGCAAAAAGACGAAAGGACCCCTACCCCAGGCTTTTGGGAAGAGCCCATCTCAATATCTAGCTTCAAGGACATGTAACAGAGCCTAAGATTGGGCAGGGGGTTCTGGGGGTCAAGATGCTCAAGTCCAAAGCCTGCCTCTGGCATTTCACTAGGTCCTAGAAGTGCTTGGCCAAGATGGGGTTCAGCAAAGCCAGCAGGCCCCGTGTCAAGTGGGACACGCTTTTGCTCTGAATGCGGGGGCCCATGGGGGTTTTAGAAAGGGGGTTCAGGGCCAGGGGGAAGCATCTTAGGGGTCAAGAACAAAAAGCAGAGGTTTACATCAGGGACAGGTGTGCCCTGTGTCATTTTATCTACAGACAGCTCTGAGGGCCGTGTGAGCAATACTTTCTCTGAAAGGAAAAAGTGAGTGCTGGGTGGCTTGAGGCCAAAGGGCTGACTCAGGAACGAAGAACTTCCCCACCCAGAGGAACTCAATGATTTCACACCCTGTACAGTCAGCAGCCCAGCCCCTGGCCCAACACACACACACACACACACACACAGAAATCCTGACACAAAGGCGTCCAGAGACACACATGCCAATCAGTAATTACCCAAATCAAAAGCCCTAGTGCATTCTTGGGGTACACCAGATAGGTGTCCCCAGTCAGAAAGCATGGTGTGGGTATAAACATGTTAACACAATAATAATAATAACAGCTAACATGCAGCAAACACCTATTATGCACCAAACACTTTGCTACACACTTGACACACATAGTATTTCTAATCCTGTGAGTCAGGGAATATTGTGCCTATTTTAAAGATGGAAAACCTGAGGTTCTGAGGGGTGAAACCATTTATTTGCAGACACATAGTACTTGGTAAAGCTGGGGTTTTCAATCGGAACTAATTTAAGACTCAAAACTAAATTGAAATCAAAACTCATTTAAAATCAGAACTACTAAATCAGAACTTCAAAGAATGCGCAATTTTTATTATTCTACCCTGGCTCTATATCTCACACACAATGGAGTGAACACATAAAAGGCAGCAATATCCCAAAATAAGTACTTAAAATTTTAAGCCACCAACATTTCATAAAATACAAGCTCCTACCAGGCCCAAGGATCAGCCCTCAGGCCAGAAGTGGCAGCCTCTAAAAATAAACACTCATACAGAAGCCAAAAACAAGTGATCAGACAACCACAAAACAGGAACATCCTGATGGGCACACACACACACACACACACACACACACACACACACACACACACACACACACCACAGGCCAACCAAATGATGTCACCACCGAGCCAGCGCGAGAGAGATGCCCGACAGGGCACATCCTATATACACACACCCGGGGCTAGATGCTCTGTCCATTCCTTCACTCTCCAGAACCATCTCTCTGACCCCCAGTTTTCCCTGGGGCTTTGGCACCTCAGCCAACAGCAGAACCCAAGTGACATTGGGCCAGGATTTTGCCGCAGTCAGTGGCCCAGAGTTCACAGGGATGGGACTGGTCCGAAAGGGAAAGGTGTTTTGGCTGAGATAGGCCTGAATCTCCAACAGCCTACACCTTGTGTCGGGACCCCTGAAGGCTGCTAAGAGGCACTTGCAGGTAAGGCTGCCTCTTCCAACTTGCCTGGGAGCATCCCTAAAGGGCTGACACTGGCAGACGAGAGAGCCGGCTCCTCATGTGTGTCCCTCCAAAAAACCGGGTGCCTGGCTACACAAAAGAGAAGAGACCCCCAGCTGGCGGTTTCCAGAGGAAAAAAGCATTAAAGACAGGAGCGTCTCATCCACTCAGATTTCTGGGGGTGGCTCTCATGAGGAGGGGCCCCTCACACCAGTTAGTGGGGGGTCTGAAGGGCTGTCTTTCCTGCTTACTGTGCCTGGAAAGCTTCTGGCCTTGGAGAAAGCTGGCCCATTCCTGGGCCCTGGCCCTACTGGGAAGCCCACACCATGAGATGCCAGAGTGTTCCTCCCAGGCCAGGGATCTCCTCCATGCCCTGCACCCCTAAGCTCCCAAGTCCATGCTCACATGGTCTGGGAAGTGGGGAGAGCAGCAAGCAAAGGGTGCTACGTCCTATGGCCTCCCCATTTACACTTGCACAGAAGATAATGAGAAGCGCTGGGTGCAAATCTGAGAGCACTCTCTTCTCCTGGGAGAAAGCAGACCCACTCTGACACCTCACTTGGGTTCATCAAAGAAAAGCTTTGGGCAAAAGAGCTAAGAAAGCATCCCCAGGCCAGGAGGAAGAATTCACACTGATTCCCACCACCTAATATCCTGGCCCTTCATTGATTTAAAAAATGTCAATATTAAACTGATTCTGCAATGTAATTTACCCCCACATGGGCTACTGCTAGCAGCAACATCAGGAATGATAACTGCCAGGCCACGAAGGCTTAGTAAGAAAATCGAAGAAGTGTAAATTGTGTAATTAAATCCTGTTTGCTCAATACAAATGGAAATTCTATTTCTGTCCTCAAAAGAAGAGCCCAGCTGCTTCTGACTGCCCAGTGCTGGCCACATGCTCCAGGCTGCTCTGTAACCTTCACTGCTCATCTTCCTTTGCATATCACGGGGATAAAGGGGGCACCCAGGCCCATTCCAGGTCTATCCAGCCCCCATGAGGGATCTGCTAAAACCCCAGTGTATTGGCAGAACCTGCAGGACATCACCCCTGCTCCTCCCATCAGAGATGAAGGTAAGTGCCGCCCAGCCCCCACCCTACAATGGTACACATTCCCCCATCCACCACAGCCACATTAAGAGCTATTTACAGGGACCACAAGAAGCCGGAACACAAGGTCGGTTTCAATCTATTAAAGCAGGAAGGGCAAAAGAGAGAGGCAGATAGAACAAGAAAGAGTAAAATAGAGTGGGGACGGAAGAGGGGGGTTTAGAGGGGGTGAGGACTCTTAAGCCGAGGACCACCACCAGATCCATCTCAAAGTCCCAGCAGCCTCCAGGGGATAGCCAGTTCAGGTAAAACCATCTTGGATGAGAGGGCAGATGGACACCTAATGGGGGGGAGACAGGGGGTAAAGGAAGGAAGCTGCCTGTTGGGGGCCATGCATACTGGCATGGATGACACTGGAATAGAAGAAAAAACTGCAGGGGAAACACAAGCTACAGACAGGCCAGGGTGGCAAGCTCCCAGGTCCTGACACCCTGTCTCATGGGCTGTCTCCCTGCTCACTTCTCTAAGGAAGTTGAGAAGTCCACTCTCGTCAAGGCCCCACTTGCTTTGTCTGCATATGTCTCGCTCTTCCCAGCAGCTGCTCCAAGCCCTGGACTCCACCCTCGACACTGAGTTTGACTACACCAAGGGGCCCTCATCCAGATGTGCGAGTCATGCTTTTGGAAAGCTCTGAGGAAAATCCCCAGCTGACTTGTATGTGGACCTGCTCCCCAGGCTCCCTCCAGTAAACTGCAGAAGGGTACAAGGGGCGAGAAGCACAGTACAGACCAGGATGCAGGAAAGGAAAGCCGCGTCCAGCCCATACACTTAAAAAAAAAAAGTGGGGGGCAGGGGGCTAAGAAATTAACATGGGATGCTAAGATAATTTATGTTTAGGGCAGTTGTTTTCTAATTTTGATGGTCATAAGAATCTCCTCTGGGGACTGTTAAACATGTAGATTCTGGGGCCCTGTCTCCAAAGATCTTCACTCATAGGGTTGGGATGAGGCCAAGAATCAGTATGCTAACTAGCTCTCTGGTGTTCTGGCGCACATCTGGGTGGGTAACACCTTCAGAAACCCTGATCCAGGTGGACAGCATTTTGAGCTCTGAGGTTAAGAACCCCTACTTCTCTTTATAACGTCAAGTGTGGTGATTTCATTTAATTTAGAGGTCAGGACAGGCAGCCCAACCATGAAAAATACAAGGTGTCATTTGGTTGACTGCAAGAAAGAAGTCTCCTTTGGCGATGAGGCAATGAGGAGAGACCCCTCCCTGCCTGACAGCAGGCCTGCTGTGAACAGCAACTGATTTATTAAGGTTTTCAGGATGGGGCCCTTCACGATAAAAAGTCCTTTGAGTCCACGTCCAGCAGAATAACAATTCATTAAAATACATTACCCAGAGCTGTGATGACCAATCATCGTGGAGGAAAATCAATGCAATGCCAATAGGAAGAGGCACCATGCCCACTGCAACAGGCAGTTTGGAGGCAGATAGGGGCCCCAGCACGTCAGGAGGGAATCCAGCTCTTTAAACACGGGAATGGGGCGTCAAAGGCCATGCGTGCCTGGTAAGTAGGTGAACTTTGACAAGGACTGAGTCTTGGCCAAGAGGCAGCAGCCAGGAGAGCAAGTGCTGGACATCTTAATCCTTTAGCCACAGACTCTCCCCCAACAATGGAGGGAGCCAGGCTGGGGCTAGGGCTGGGGCTGGTGAGAGGCAACACGGGAAGGAGAGGATGGGGCTGGGTACCAGGGAGCCACAGGGATGTGCTTCTAGAGAGGAGACAGAGGGGAAGTGCTCCCTCCCACCTCACCCCTAAGCCAGACACACCCATTACTCAGAAGAATGGTCTCCATCTTAATGGCCAACTCAGCTTGCGTCAACCACTTAACCACGCAGAGCCTGGCCACACAGAGATGCGAAGGCATGCTTGCAGGTTTGCTGAGGGATAGGATTCAGGAGCTAAGTACCTTGAGCTGGGCCTGGAACATCCTCCTCTCTCCATTTCCACAGCTCTCATCACCCACAGAGTAAAGCCTTAACCTCCCTGCTGGACACTCCAGACCTTTTATCATCTGGCCCCTTCCTGCCTTCTGAAGCTACACCTGCACTTTCCTTAATACCCCAAACACCACCCCCACACACACTCTACTCTTCCTGTTTGGATGCTCTGCCCT